GTGGAATGCGTCAATTTCGTCGTGTCGAACGGCGGTGAATGTGTCGTCAACGTAACGTAACCAAAGCGGTATCGTTTGTCGGCAAGTCGAAAGGGCGCGTTCCTCGATGTTCTGCATCACAATTTCTGCTATAACAACAGAAACTGGAGACCCCATGGCAGTGCCGTGTAACTGTTTGTAGTGTTTACCGTTGTACTGAAAGTAAGTAGACGTTAGGCAAATGTTTAGCAAGTCCATGATGTCGTCTGTCGGTAGCGGTAGTGGTTCGGTAGATTTTCGGATTGCAGTCTCAGTGCATTGTAATGCTAATTGAAGTGGAATACTTGTGAACAGTGATTTCACATCAAATGACACTAGTTTGTAGTCGTCAGGTATCTGAACAGTCTTGGTAGCGTTAATGAAGTCTTCAGTGGATTGTAGTTTATGTCTGGATTTGTCGGTTAGCGGTTGTAGTATTGTCGTCAGGTACTTGGATAGTTGGTATGTGGGAGAGCCACAGAAAGAAACAATAGGTCGCATCGGGAAACCAGGTTTGTGTAGTTTCGGCAAACCGTAGAGTTTCGGTGGCTGTGGTACCGAGCACCTCAGTCGATAGTACCGTTGGGTGTCAAAGGCGTTCGTTTTCTTGAGTGTCAGTAGTTTACTGTTGAGTTTACGTTGAAGGGCAGGAGTTGGGTCACGTTTGAGTTCTTCGTAGGTTCGTTTGTCGTTAACTAGTGCGTCCATTTTGTCGTGATAGTCAGTTTTGTCCATAACAACAGTAACTCGTCCTTTGTCGGCTGGTAGGATGACTATGTTCTCGTCGTTTCTCAGTCGTTTCAGTGCGCGTTGTTCGTCTTTAGTCAAGTTGCTGTCATTTAGTGACGTTGATTGTATAGTGGAGGCAATTCTGCTTCTGATGTTATCCTTGGTCGGCTCAGATAGCTCTCGTTGCCGAGACAGGGCCGCCTCAACACTAGATACAATAGCCTCGGTCGGTATGCGTTTAGGTGTTACTGAGTGTTTTAGTCCGTATGATAGTACCTGAGTTTCAGTCTTGTCTAAGGAACGAGAAGAAATGTTACTTACCCAGTTATCGTCCGGTTTGCTTCGTCTCTTTTCTTTGTCGCGTAGCAGTCGTGTCAATTTTTGTTGATGTCCAGTGCGGGCGCGTTCAGTCGTCTTGTTGGCACGAGTTATATTCATTTTATTATGCATTAGACATACTCGCGCATAGGACTTCGCCAAAAACAAAGGACTGCTCGTAGTCGATTGCCTAAGTTTCTGGCATTAGTAAGGTAAATTGTAGGTCATTTTAGGTCGCAGCCTCGTTTAGGCCCTCAACAATTGTGTAGCATAATTTTTGGCATACTTGCTCTTTTTATAAAAGTAGCACTGCATGTTAGCATAATCAGCTTCTTTCTCTTTAATTGTTTTTGAAGGGAGCATCACTAGGGTCATGGCTTGTTTGGTCTTCAAGATTGATTATTTTTATTTTCAGTCCATTGTTCAGTCCATATTCAATTTTGCAATG